ATCAGCTTATGCAGATTAATATGAAGCCTTAATAAATCAAAATCAAACAGCGGGGTTCAAATAAGAAATAACTTCTTTTTTTTTTTTTTTATAAAAAAATTGCACAGCTACATAAATATAACTACTATTACTGTATATATATTTATGTACCTTTAAGACATCTTACAGGGTCACCCCAACTCTGTTTGACCTGTGAGTCATCACTGTAAGAGTGTCCAAAGGATCACTTGATTAAGCAGCAATGTTTTAATAATTGATGATGGAAATAGAATCTTCAGTAATGAAATTTCCATCATGAAAAGGGAGCTAGTCGTAATATAATCATTCATTCAAGCAGGTGTAAATAACATTTCTTGGCTCGCAGGGAAACACTCTATATAAAGGTCAGGGAATTAATGGACACTCAGACGAACTTTAACTCTACTGTCAACAATGTTAACCATGTCCAGCAGCTATGGTCATGTTTAGACAGTATTATGTTGAGTTGAGTGTTGCAGAAGAAAGGGAAGGTTGCATAGCCTAAACCTGCATGGTCAGCAGCTTTTAGTAGCACCCATACTGTATGCTATAGCTATGAAACAAATAAAACCTAAAACCCGTTCACCAATGTGAAAATACATAATGTGTCATAAAGAAAAACAGAACACATACAGAAAGCCCACAAGTTATACAGAATGAAATAGAGGGACACTAAAACAGATGTACACACCTGGACAAGTGTTGGATTGTAAGTTGACAATGTAACTTTGTGACCACATGATTTTGACACTGCCGGAGATATTAGCTACGTCTACAGTACATAGGATTTGCCTGTTACTAATTAGCCTGCCATCATTGTGAGGGGCAAGACATAATGAATCATACAAATGGAGATAATGTACACTTTTGGACAGTCTCTTTTTGACGGCATCTATACAGGGGGTTCAGATGCTGTTTGATGATTTAATACACACTTTGCTAGAAGCATACTGATGTCTACCCTTTAGAGAGCATGCAGCTGGACCATATCAGACCTTATATCATACATGTCACATGGGATGATGAAACAGTAAGTGCATTCTCTGTTGATGGTTTATATCTCCAGTACATGTTACATGTATTTTCATAATCATACAGTGTAAACAGCTCGCATTACATTTGATTTTAAACAGGGTTTTTTTGGCAGGAAAATAGTATTTTCCCAGGGCTTTTTGCTGTTCTGTGACTAGGTGCAACAAAGTGTAGTACATATCACAGCAACACATAAATAAGTCAAATTACAAATCCAATAATATTTCCCAGTGAATCAGAAAAAGACCATAGCTTCTCAGAAAACTCTCTGACAGTTTTGTTCATCATGACACCTAAGCTGAGAAGTCATGTTTGCCAAGGCAATTTGTCAGACAACAGCGGGGGTAGCATCACAGACCTATTCAGTGGGAAATGTCCCTCTGAATTCAGTTTTTATTCACATAGTATTCTATGGCTTGAGTTTGGCTTGAAATGCAAAGGATGGTTTTGATTGTATTAGCACATAATGTTATGTTATGACATTTGGTTTTGGCTCTTATTATAAACCTTGGCACACATTTTGATCTAAATGTTAAATAATCAAAAATCATTTAAAAGAATTACTTAATTTACATTAATTTATTATCATAGGATACTGTGGTTTCAATTAGTATTACTACTGGATAAATATAAAAGGGTTAAGCTGAATAAGGATAGTCAGAAACAGAAAATCTAATCTTAGGGATCACATAATTTCCCCCACTAAAATTTTTTCAGTATAGGCATCAAAAAGAAGATGAATAACACAGTTGTTCTCGATCAATGGCTGAGGCTGTCTTTCTTCCAGTCATGAGTCGCACTGCTGATCAGATGGTTTACTGATCATAAGAAAAGGTCTCGCTGTTTGGTTCACAAAAGGTTCCTCTTGTTAACCAGGAGAAGAGCACTGTAGTCAAATACGTAGTTTACAAAATAATAAAGAATATATTGATATGAACATATTATCAGATCAAAGTTAGAACTGTGCAGTCTCTGCTGATTTAACGTAGCAGTTATAAAGAAGCTTTCCTTTTTGATCCATTTTGGTAGAGGTGACATTCAGCAGGAGACCAGATGAGAAGGGACCCCCATGGTTTAGCCTTTAAGCATGACCATTGTTTCTCCATCTGGTAAGGTAAACTCCAGTCCAAAAATATTTCTGCTGAATTTACCTCCATGGCTGTACACAGAGTATGCTTTTATATAATGGACACTAGATCTCTATTGTTATTAACTAGAATATAATAGCATTTCATGAACATTTGGTATTGCTTTGTCTGTAAACAGTCTTACAGTACCTCAGTGTCAGCTGAATTTGCAGTTACATGACCCTACTGATAGGTAGCTATATGCTTACATTGTCTAAAGTATTCTGTTAAGAAAAATGAATATGTTTACATGTAAGCATGCAACCATGTAGCACAGAAACCCTAATGCTGTTAAACAAAAAAATGTTTTTATTCATATGCTTACGACTGCATTAAGTGAACATAAGCAATTCATTTTTATAGGCACAGGTAATTGCTCCATTTAGAAAACTGTAACAAAATAAAAAAATTAATTAAAAAAATTTTTAAAAGAAGACTAAGAGCAAAAATTTAGATAAAGTGTGCTCGCATGCCTGAGTAAAGCGGACATCTGCATCTGTTACCCCACATAAAGAGGAGAAATGTTGAAATTCTTATTTTTCATTTCTACATTTAAACAACTCACCTCTGCCTTGTTCTGCACAGAAGCTAATGCAACACATGATATTTCAGACAAGGAAGTGGCATGTCTTGCCTTACCTAGAATAGGACAGAATAATGCTAAACATTTCATAACTTTTAATAACATGACATTTGAAAAGAATTCAATACAATTTACCATAAACAAAATATAAATTGCTTATCTTATTTTGAGTGCCTGCTGAGTAAAAAGGTGGAGGTATGTCACAATGTACTTGGACTTACCTTTCTCAATATATTAAATATTCACAACAACACCAAGCTGGAAAATATCATTAGCACATTTTGGTTGAAAACACGAAAGAATATGTGGTTAGAAATCTGACATTAGAAATATTGTAAATACGTCATGCAATTAATGACAAACTCAAGCAAAAGTTCAGTTCTGGCTGGGGAACTTTGTTGTTCCCTCCCCTCATCCCTCATATCCTAATTTTCACAAAAATAAAGGATGCCCCAAAAATAACATCAGTAAGTGCATATTCTGGGAGGGAAGAGTTTAAAGATTCATCCCTAAGACGTTTAATTCCTCCAAGATTTATCAGATAATTAAAAGTCGATACTGAGTAACTCTCTCACTCACTTAGTTGGTTCTTCACTCTGAAAAATGAGCATACTGCTAAGTCAAACAGATTTTTCCCCCTTTTATAGAAGAGACGATTTCAAATTAAGTGAAGGATTTCTGGGAAAGTGCTTTTTGTGAAAAAGGGATTTTCAGGGGAAGGACTCATAGTTCCCCAGCTCTCTAAGCACCTCTCTTCTACTTTACAACATAACGTAACCAGGCAACTATGACACCAGACAAGATAGGTGTGGCGTGCACACCCAATATTCTTATTAACCACATACAGCACATACATAGGCTGTACTTTTTATTCTCATGAATTCACACGATGCAGTTAAAACTTTGAATTATTCGTGTATTCTCAAAAACTGTAAATTTTTTGATGTATTCCGTTAAAATATTAAAATCACATTATTATATTGTCAGTGGTGATGACGCAGCATTACGTCTGGGATTTTTGATACAGAAATCCTTCCAATAGAACTCTGGCATGTTGAGGCAGACCAAGCTTGTTATATTTAGTCAGACAGCAAGTCTACTGCTAATGAATGCTGCTGGCAGGGTGTCTGTGAGCCCTGCAGAGATTACAGTGAACACTGGTAATATGTGTCCTCTGTGAGTAAGACCAACACAACAAGCCAGACAGAAAGACAGACAGACCTACATACAGTACAGAGACAAAGAGACAGTTAGTATTAGACATTTTGATTTCACAAGAAATACTATCATTAATATATTCTCTAAAAAAAATTCAAATCAACTTTTTTTTTCAAATGTATGTAATGTGGTTTCTGATTATGTGCTGAAAATAGTCAGAGATAACGCTCAGGATAGCTTTCTCCTGTACCAGAGATGATCACTGTGATATTGTATGTCACCCTAGCTGTTGTAGCAATTGTGTTGTTGCTTAGGGTCCAGGGAGTAGAAAGTGTTATTAGTGGGCAGTTATGCCCACAGGCATCAATAGCTTTCACTAACGCAGCTAATAACCACTGCAGTTGAGAAATTGGGATATTCTGGGCTCAAGACTAAGTTTAGAACACGGATGGTTTTATGCTCCACTGCCTCACACCATGCTCAGTTCTGTGATTATTACCACATTGCAATCCTCTAAATTGGCTGTAATCTGTCCTGCCTGTTTGATCTATTTTGTTAAACCCTGCTGTCTGCACTATACTGTGGCTCTTGCATCATATTTGTCCATCTTCTGCAAGCTTAGTCATTTTAATGCTGTGTATTGCTCATCAAAATTTATGTGGTACATCCATACAGACACAAATAGGCATGCAACACAAATGAACACACACACACACACACACACACACACACACATTTCTTTGCGTAACCCCTGGGCTGACTTATTTTATCTCAACTATTGCAGTTGCTCTGACGTGCAGGCATTGACCTTTAAATCGGATCAAATTGTCTTTGTTTTCCCAACATTCATGTGAAACCAAAGGGAGGTGTAGTTTTTAGTTTGATTAACATTCTAAATAATGGCCTCTACAATAATTTGTCTTATTGTGATGTACTTGTTGGTAAATTTCTATTGAGCATAACTGTTTCTTTTTCTAGTTTTAGGTCGAATGAAGACGTCTTGGGACAGACTAGCCCTTTTAGAGATGACAGCAGAGTGTGTGATTCAGCTTTGTGGCATTGACACTTTGTTTCTCTTTCAGGGTCTGACTTTCAGTGTTACATTCACATAATTCCTGTGAAAAACGAGGAGGGCGTGGTGATGATGTTTATCTTAAATTTTGATTACATTGTGGATGAGGAAAGTGACAACTCCACAGAGAAGATAAGCCCAACATCCCCTACAAAGTCAGATCAAAGTGAGTATTTCATACACCATTCTCTCCTTACTTTGATAGAAAGCTACCTAAAGAAGCATTGGTATAGAGTGAAACGGGACAATTTTTTGTCTTTTCGGGACAATTTTTTGTCTTTTCTGTGGGGTTTGGGTTAGCTGAAATTTCATTTTTCAGATAGGTTACCGCACATCAGTATGTTCTAGGTAAACTCTTTTTCATGACCAAAGCTACAAAAAATCACCAGATAATCCCATACCAAAAAATTATGCATGGCATTGCATCTGTCAGGCGTTTGTCACATTTTTCTCTTTTCATTTCAAATGAAACCTGTGCACATTTTGTGAGATGGCGCCATTCCCAAAATAACAATCCCTCACCCCTTTAACAAATGGCAGTTGCAAAAGTGGATGGCAGTAATTGAGACATTAAAATAACCCTCTACATCTGTTTAGACACAAATTAAGCATTAGAGATTTTGATGAAGTTCCCTGAAATGCTCAGTATAACTTCTAAACATGTTGCCAGTTTCTATTATTCTAAAAAGGTGTGCATTATTTAGTTTGCCAGTACAGTTTACAAGTACAAATGCATTAAAATGCAGTGTGTGCATGTAGGAAATGGCTGTTCTGCTTACATAACCTTATCTTGCTGAAAGTGTTTAATTCTTAATTGTACAGTATGTCTGTTTTGTGTGTTCCGAAAACAGCAGCATATACTGCACCAGCTTTTTTTATTTGGATGTGTGTCAGTAGGTGTAAATATCAATGACACATTCTCTCTTATTGGAGGCACTTAGTATCTCTTCTCTGACCGGGGCTCAGCTATCCCCTTCACTCACCATGAATTCCTCTAAGGCACTGGCATTCAGATTGTGCAGTACTGTGTGTATGCGAGTATTTAAGTGTGTGCATGCCTAGATGCATATGTGTGTGCGCGCGCGTGCATGCATGCATTTGTGTATGTGCTTATGTGCCTGTGTCCGTTACTAACATTGCTAATCAGAGTTGATTGATTGTGACAGTGCTTCAGCAAGGGGACCTGTGGATAGATGGGGCAGAAAAACATATGATGTGACTTTAGATTAGAAAGAGTCTTGACTACATGCACACATCACACTTAAAGTATGACCTTACTGTTACCTTTGTCTTTGAGCAGCCCTTAGATAACACAAGGGCATAAAAGTGCAATTTTATGCTATACTTGGTTTGACTTGGTGGCTTGGTCCTACCAAGGGACTGCAGATGGAAATTAGCTAGTACCTATATCAGGTGCAATAAATCTCTTCTCCTTATGTGAGATTAATTATTTTTGTACTTGGTCCCTGAAAAATAAATGTAATAAACTAAAATAAACTAAATGTAAATGGGGCTTTAAAAACCAATGCAGATTTTGTAATGAAGCTGCATGCTGTTATATTATGTGCACATATAGTCTTTTACACCACAGATTCAATATACCAATTAATATTCAGTATTTCTTTAGATGTGTATCAGAAAACAGGTATTGTCCCATTGGCAGAGAAAGAACTTTGACATGTCACTCCTTTAGAAAAAGAAATAGTTTTTTAAAAAATCATTTTAACCTGAAATGACCAGTGAGAATATTTCCACACAGCTTAGCCATACATCTTAGAGTAGCAACCTGTGAAAGTGATTTTTGGACATTTGGGACCTAATTATGATCCAGTGTTGACAGCAGGCAACAAGCCTGCAGGTGTCACCTAGCACAATATTGAGCCTGGAAGAGAGTAATCCCTCTTTCCCTGAGCTGACATCTAAAATACACCGTTCCATTCAGCTACTTCAGCATGCCTTCAAGGCCCAAAACTAGAGACAATACTTAGCAGAAACATACACTGTTCAGTGTACAGTCACACGGAGACTTATTTTTACTGTTCAATAAACTACTGGATGCACATTGCTGCGGCATGTAGTGGTAATTATACTTTAACAGTCAGTGATTCCTGAATTGGTTAGTTATACATATCAGTAAGAACAAGCTTGATTCTGATATGGTAGAAATATTTAAGCTGTAAATATGGAAATTTGACATTTACTATTTTGTCAGGGGTTTTCTTGAAATGAACTTTCAAAGCAGATGACCAGCTGAGCTACTTTATTTCAATATAATGGATCAGCAGGTCCACTCATCAGTCTTTCCAGATGTTCAAGCTCCTCATCCTATCCCTAGGGATGAGTCCAGACACCCTGTGAAGAAAAGCCATGCTCATTCTTATTCTCTTGAACACTATGCAGAGCTTGTGAGCATAGCTGAGGGCTGGAACATAAATCAACTGGTAAATGTAGACGCTTCAATGCAACATGAAGTCCACATCGCTGCAAATGTTGCATCGATTGTCTTGTTAATCTTGCTTGCCATCTTACCCCCACTTATGAACAAGGCCCTTGAGATACTTCATCTACTTGACTTGAAGCAGTAACACACTCACAGCTCAAAGGGCCCAATCCATCGTTTTCCAGCAGAGTACAGTGAACTTGGAAATGGTGATTCTCATCCTTGCTCCCTTCACACTCAGCTGCAAACCATCCCACTACTAAGAATAAACATATTTTATAGGATAGGTCGACATGTCTCCCTCAGTATTTGGAGACACGAGTCATCCAGGTAGTAGGATATTTAGAAGTACTAAATCATAGGCAAATGGAGTTGCTGTTTTATTCATGAAGACATTTCATGACTGAACCAAGATATTTAATGACAAGTGGGGACTCCCAAAAAGGTAAACCTCTATGGATCATTCACACTTAAAAGTCACATGAGAGTCATTAAGGCCACATATGAGTTGTTAAGATCAAGATCACGTTATGTGTGAGTCATCCCATGAATTAAGGTGTGAATTTGTTTAAAACAAGCCCAGAAAACATGTCAGGGCAGCACTGTAAGCTGCTGATAAGCTTTTTCAGGAAAGGCTTTTGTCAAAACAGAAGAACAACAACTTCACAGCAACACACACAGGAGAGAAGCAGAGCAGATTTAATTACGTAGTCATTCTATACATATATGGGACATCCAAGAAACTCAGTAGGATCCTCAATAAACACAGCATCATGTTTTTCAAACCCAGCAACACACTACCCCATAAACAGACAGCACAGAGAGAGAGGGCAACACCAGCAAGAGAACGGGGATGGGGGTGGGGACAACAGCAAATAGCAGAAGGAAACACCAATTGCAGAAAGCAATAAAACCTGCAAGAGAACAGGGAGGGGGGCTTGGGGCGGAGAAAAACAAACAACAAACAAAAAACAACGAACACACAAACAAACAAACAAACAAAAACAAAGAGACAACCAGCTGAACAGATGCAATAAACAGCTGACTTGGAAGACAATTGAGAGAGAAATGAAAATGAGAAAAAATCAGGCAACATAGGCTAAATAAACAACACAGCACCACCATGAGAGCTGAAACAGTTAATTTAAATAACTCCCAGACACCAAAGACACCAGCCATCCAAATGCCAATTGACAACGCAATGCCGTCAGAAAGCAAAAGGCAGAACCCGGACCTACCGCGGCGCGCACACAACAGAGGCCAGTGCCACCCCGCGACCGGCACCCTACCGCCAAAATGCCATGCAATCATCAACATCAGCGTGCAAGTGACGTTAAGTTAAATGCAAATATAAGCGCAACAATGACGATACGCAATCAAATTCAAGCAGGACATTATAGACCTATACATCAGCGAGACAAAACAACCAATGAACAAGCCCAATATGGCCCAATACGGAAGAGTCAGGTCCTCAGGTAAAGCCTCGGCAGTCTGCCTATATGGAAAGAATGATAAGGGACACTCTTTTGAGGACACCAATGTGAATATTTTGGACAGAGAAGATGAAAGATCACAAATTTCAACCTCATGGTGGCACTACAGGAAAAGTACAGGGACCAAAGTCAGTAGGCTTCATCCTACAGGGGCTGTGAATACAAGTACAAAATTTAATGGCAATCCTATCGAGAGTTGCTGAGATAGCTTAGTCTGGACCTATCAACTGACAAACCAGCAGACCGTCATTGTCATCCCTAGAGCCATACCACTGCTAGTGGGAGGCTGTGTCTTAAAGATAGAGCTCTTGTAGGCTGTGTGTGTGTATGATTAGTTTCTTTCTGATGATCACTTGGCACCTTGCATGGTATCCTCTGCCATCAGTGTGTGTGAATGTAGTGTGAAGTGAGTGGTTGACTACAAAGTACAAGTACAGACAATTTACTGTGGCCAAAAATAAAGCTCTTCTCGTAGTTGTTCTTCATTAAATATCATTAAAAAGGAATGTGACTCCTTAGACTTTGTACTATATGTTTTTATAGTATAAAGCAAAATGTATCTGTAACTGTAATTATAGAAGGGCTCAGCTGAGATCATTGGTATTACAGTGATTTACATTGCACAACAAGTCACTCAAAAAACAAACTGCTTCACATTGTGTTGATATGAGCTTTTCCGTACTAAGTACTATGCTATATAGGTATTATATAAATATTCGACCAGAGCAACAGTCTAGAGCATTCTCAGTACAGACGACACAGTCTCCCTACAGAGAAGAGACAGGAAGGTTGCGCATATCTCCTGCAAGCTCAGGATGTCATTAGGTTCCTCTCCAGGAAACTTGTTAAGTGTCACAACTCTATTGTAAGCTGCTTTAGTTGTACCATCAGCACATTTGGCCAGGGAATGGAAACAGATGGCAATGACGTTATGTAAGGAGGGTGCTGATGGATGGAGGCAGGGTTCACTTTCACCCTGTATTGTTAACGAGCCCGAAACTTTCACTCTGTCCCAAGAGGTCTTTAACATTTGCCGCTGTGTCCATTCTTGAAATGTGGCTTCTGTACCAAAATTGTTCAAGGACGCATAATAAATCAATAGTGCAATCGGCTGTTTCTCATAGTTATGGACACTAAAAGGAGATATGTTGCAATATGGCAAAACAAAATCTCTTTTGATTGATCTTCATTTTTTTCATAACAAAATAACTTTTTAATTTCATTTTCTGTTTTCCCTCATATCTTCTAGGCAGAATAAACCTCTAATCTAACCATGAATTTCATTGTTCATTATGTACAAAAATCAGTCAATGCTGTTTGGACGCTGTTTTATTTTTCAATGCTGTATACTAAAAACTTAATAAGCCTTCTCATAATTTTTCCAATATTTTTAGGGAGGAGTAGATTCTTCCGCTTCCGCCAGGCCGCTTTGAGCCTAATGAATACCAACAAGCAATCTCTTCCACAAGAGGACCCAGATGCTGTGATGGTGGACTCACCCAAAGAGAATGAGGACTCAGTGGCCCTGCAGAACTTCCCCTCACCCACAAAGAGCATCGGCAGTCCCATTGAGGCCAATGACACGCATGGCCTCATAGGCTCAAGCCACCACGCTTCCCAGGCTAGCATCGGCCCTGAACCACTTGACCATTCATCCCCTAAACTCCCCTGGGAGAAACTGTACCAAACAGAGCCGCACCAATCCTCGACCACCCTGTCAAACACCTTCCCCAGAGGCAGCATCAACAGCATGAGGCGAGCCTCGTCTGTTCATGAAATCGAGGGCTACAGCTCCAATTCTAAAAGCCTTTTCAGGGATCGTCAAAGTGAAGGTATGTCCTACAGTATGATATAATCTGCCATACTGCGTTCGTCTTGCCCAACCATCACGTTAAGATTCAGTTTACATTAGAATGCAGACCAATGTTAACTCAACCATGTGACACTGGGTTCAACAAGGCACTGTACAACAATTACAGATTTGGCCTACAAAAGTATAATGTTTAAGAGACACAATTTAGCTCTTATCATCTAAATTGTTTATCTTTATTTGCTCTGTCCACATATCTGTCATATATTTAGCCATGATTTCATTGCTCAGTGATGTTTTAGAGCATGACTTTCAAGCAAGGCAATCAGCATAAATGCTCTTCACAGATCCGCTTTTGATGGATAGGTTGAGTTGAAGGCTTACTGCACTTTTTCTTTATGGAAAATGATTGTATGACCAGTGTAGTGATTTTGTCACATCAGCAGTCTATACAATCATATAATGTAATCATATACTGTAAGCCTCAAATCTACTCTCATCATATGCCAATCAAACATATGTGTATATGTAATATATGCTTGTATTATGTGATACCATAGCTCTGCTGACTAGCTATTGTTCGAAGCTACGCCAACCATTAACTCAAGTGAGCAGAACTTAAGGATTTTCCACCAGATGATGTATGTTTAATATCACGCTAATTGCTTAACAATTGCATATCTGGCCATATGCCAACATAACACAGGAAACAGGATTAAACACTTCCCATCCAATTTTCTATGAAATTATTTTAGCAAGAGATGTTCCATACTGTTAAAATTTGTGCATGAAAACGGATTTAGGTTTTAGGAATATATGAAATTTAAAAGCTCATAAATGAATCACTAGTTCCTCTAAATTCGTGATTGGTTCTAATTCACAGCCAAGTACAGTTCTCTGTACCCAACTTTATTCTCAGCAACATATAGAGCTGTAGTGCATTTCCCTTTGCAGTGGTGCTGTGTAGGGCTGTCCCCGACTAAGGATTTACATAGTCCAATCAGAATCGTCAAGTCCTGCCTATACTCGACTGACAGTCGAATCATGTGTTTTTTGGTGCGCGACGATTCCGGGGGGTGGGGCTCCGCTTTAATCTTGAGAAGCTTCAGAGCTGCAGTCTCTCTTCATTCAACTTACACTGTAAATTTCCAGCTAAACTGAGGCGCTCTCTCTCTCTCTCTCTCTCTCTCTCTCTCCTGTCATTCACTAGTCTTGTGCAGAGTTTTATGTGCATTACTGCTGCCGATAACTGCATGCACGTCGCGGTTCCTTGGGGGTCTCTTTCAAGTAGCCGGCTATTTAAAAACGATCAAATATTCTTTATGTGGTTCATCAACAGTGATAAATTATCCGAAAGACCCGCCAGGTGCGAACAACTCGGCACAACACCGTGAAGCTGGAGCTCCTTCTCTTCAGCAAGCGTTTCTCCACTGCCACTTCACACGTCCACGCCACGCTCACACATGCGCACTGACAAACCAGGGTTAGGGTGACAATTTTGGATTTATTCACGCACTTTAAAATTTTTTGAAAGTTTTATTCTTTTTATATGTTTATTTACAGCATTAAACGTTGAAATGTATATTGTAATAGGCTGTATATGAACTTATTGGGAGAAAACTGGTAGTTCTATGTAAAATCAGACGTTGAGCACCCCCATATTGCCAAAATGGCATGATCCTTGTTTCGCTGCAAAGCTTCGATTGTGAATCTTCGACTATTCGGGGTCAGCCCTGTCGATTCTAGGCTGCTATTATATCAATGCATTATGTCACCCTAATACCTAAAACATGGAAATATGGTTTGAAATGTCTCACCTGTGAGACAAATAATGGCTGATCTTATCTTAAATCAGTGAAGCGTTCCTTGCAAAACCAAAAACTGATATTATTCACAAAATTATTAATTGTAGTTGCTTAAACTTTGCTCGCCAAATCAAGTGAGCAGAACTTGCACAGTTAGCATTACATACTTGTCATTTTCACAGCCATAAGATAGTGACAACTTGGGTTGTTAGTAACTGCATCATATCAACTCCTATCAATGAATATATAAGATTAATGTGTAGGATTAATGGCTAACCTTACAGAATATTGTGCATTTAACCAAGTTAAGATACTGTATGTTTATTCAGAATACTAATTTGACTACCATTTGTTCTAAACCACTAGGCCCTTTTAATAACGTGACGTCCAGCCTGCTTTGCTCTACCTCTGATTCTAACATCAACAAGTATAGCACCATCAGCAAGATCCCTCTGATTGCACTCAACTTCTCTGAGGGGACTGAAAAGAAGACTCATTCTCCTCCAGCATCAGAGGCAACCATCATAGCACCAAAGGTCAAAGACAGGACTCACAATGTCACAGAAAAAGTCACACAGGTGAGTCAGGAAGATCCACTTTGTTTGATAGCGCAGTTTCGTCTGAACCATATGAACCTTATTTTTGCTAGCAGCCCATTGTCCTGTGACATCTGCATCTGGTGATTTTGAAATCCACACTCACATAGGTAATACAGAGAAAAAATTCTCAGCCCATGTTAAACCCTCCCGGTGAATTTCCTGCTGGCATGTGGGGAAAAAAGCAGTTGTGATCCCATGGTTCACTGCTCATCCATGTCAGCAGTGGAGCAGAAACATAAGTGAGGGGTAGTTTGGCATTCCTTATAGCGGAGAAAGTAGGGATAATATAGAGGGGAAAAAAGGTCAAATTCATACTCATCAACATCATCTATGGGTAACTTTCAAAAAGGGGGAGACATGGCTGACCCCTCATAAAAGAAATGCATTTTTTTACTTGCAAGCCCAAATGCAGGTTCACTTCAACACTTCTGCAGGGATTCATCAAGGATTCAGTTTCTTGCTCAAGGACAATGCAGCAGGACCAACACTGTCTGTCATACAGCTGAAACAAAGGCTATCTGGTGGCAGAATTCCCTGTTGATAACAGCACAGATGATGCCAGCTAAGAGTGCATGCATTTGTTGCGGTTTTAATAAATGAATACCTTTGTTTCATCTGATAACATTAAATAGAAAGCCAAAATACCCAAGCCTATATCTTTGGGATAACTTGAATCATTCTGACAAATAGCATGCACAGCACATTAGAAAACTGTGTGTAGGTCATAGAAAAACAAAACTGCCACTTCTTCCGAGGAATTTAATGCACAATAGAGGCCCAGCAACTTTATATTTAAACTTCTGAATGAAGACAAACCTTCATGATTAAATGCTGTCCCTCCCTGCTGACTTTAGTTTAGAGTTTGGAGACACCACTGAGATGTAAACACTGCATCTACTACCTGACTGCTACCATGGGGAAATCTATAATTCATGTGTTGAAGATAGGAGAATGTGCTGAAATGGATAGAGACCCGTTGCCCTCATCCTCACTCCTGCACTATTTTCTGCCATAAGTGAGCCCTCTCTCTTTGTCTGCCACTGCTTATTAAGCCAAAAACAGGGGACAGCTTGGCCTTCCTGAGCACACTGAATAATTTACCATCCAGCCATTCATATGGGGGAATAAAAGCAACGTTTGCTTACACAAAATTCATACAGCTTTTGTCCTCTGTGTCATCTGTACATTGACATGCTTACAGTTTTCACCAAGAGTACAGAATGTACCTCTTGCAAATGCAGAACAAGTTAGACAGTCACATTATTCATAGTGCAGGACATACTTGTCTTAGAAGAGAGGCTGCCTTTACCTAATACTGTTTGACTGCTGAGCACTTACCTTGGTGTGTCACAGCTACTGTCAAATCAGTCCTTCAAATCATTCTGTGAGCTGGCTAAATTACCTCAATAATTATCATAAGAACTATGTGCTCAAGCTTTCTTTGATCAATTTGTCCGATGGATGAACAACAAACTGATTGTTTTACTGTACACTATCAACATAAATTTAGACAGGTGACAGAGTAAAAAATGTGTCATATTTTCAGTAATCCTATTCAACTAAGAGGTTGACCCACATTAAAATTAAGTGGAATTTCCTGACAAATGATCAAAGTGGAGTGGTGTAATCAGGTGGTTTCCCCCCACCTGTTCTGAACCTCTTTTGCTACTCCTCTAGGTCCTGTCACTTGGAGCTGATGTGTTACCAGAGTACAAACTCCAGACAGCCCGCATTGACAAGTTCACCATCTTACACTACAGCCCCTTCAAAGCTGTGTGGGACTGGCTGATCCTGCTGCTGGTCATCTACACAGCAATCCTCACTCCCTACTCTGCTGCTTTCCTTCTCAATGACCAAGGGGAGCAGAAGAGGCGTGAATGTGGATACTCCTGCAACCCTCTTAATGTAGTGGATTTAATTGTGGACATCATGTTCATCATTGACATCCTTATAAACTTCAGGACCACTTACGTAAACCAGAACGAAGAGGTGGTCAGCGATCCAGCTAAAATAGCAATCCATTACTTTAAAGGCTGGTTCCTTATAGACATGGTGGCAGCAATCCCCTTTGACCTTCTTATCTTTGGCTCAGGATCAGATGAGGTATGTTATCTTTAATGCATATATTTATTACCTGTTAATTTTTTTTCTCCCAGGGAGCTTTACTCCGACCACGCATGCGCTGTTATCCAGACTTGTGCCCCTGGGCTACTACTTAAAGCCTGAATCTTTCTGTCTCGGCTCTGAAAGGATTACTTTAAATTGCATGTTTTTTTTTCCATTTTTTTTCACTCATTTTTTTTTTTGAATGGTCCTCATTCTAGAATCCATTTACACGGATTAATGGCTTACCAAATGGCAATCAATGATGCATTTATGTGAGGAGCAGGCCAACAGGGCTGTGTGCACAGCTTACATGCAGATGTGAGATGGCCATTGGTAGGCTGCCTGCCAGGCCTGCTGGCTTGTTTGGTGGTAGGATATGTCCCCTCAGGCTCTGGATCCACTTCAGTGCTTTATCGTGCTTTGTAGGCACTCCATTACACCAGAAAAGCTCCTGATTATAAACCATAATCATCTTTTTCACCACTGCTGCTGCTGTGCTGCTACTGCTGAGTCAGTTCAGTAAATGACAACAAATGAAAAAGAAAATCTCTCACAACAGTGTAGCAAACAAATCACAAAACAGTCCTGGCAAATTTGCACAATAGGTAGTAAGTAAAAAAAAATACATTTTGCCTCAGCCTCAAATCAATACCATGATTATATAATACAATACAACCATATTTAACTATTAACTTGATTTTGATTTAAAAAATGAACTGAAGGGAACTGATTGTTTCCCGCTCACATACTGTGATAATGTGCTGATACATTGCTTGCATTTGTAGCTTTCCAGATTTGTGTTTCAGACCGAACACACAAAGTCCCGCTCCGCTGCATTCTCATTCAGAAAATAAAAGCAACCAAGACAGTGGCAGATGGTTTTCACAAGGCTCATTTAATTTAGCAGCTTAATAAGACGGTTTTAACCTACAAGCGCTTAAGTGAACCTTTTGATTAGAGCGGGGAATATATTTGAAATAGATTTCAATCAATGTCTTGTTGCTTTCAAAACAACTTGCCACAAGATTGAACATACTGTGAGAGGAATTATGCAAGATTCGCACCATGAAGGTTGTTTTTAATAATAATTATTATTATAGAAATAGAAATAGAATAAAAGTGAAATAGAATAAGATTTATTTCAAGCTGTTTCACTGTGAATGCAGTGGAAAATAAATTGAGTGCTTTGTCCCAATTTGAACTCCCTAAATGTTGTCTCCAATCAAGAGGAATAGTGTGTGTGGAGGGTGGGGGGTTGGGCATAGTGCTGAGCAGCTGTGTTATGCAATTGCTTGTGCAGGTACATTTAAGCCTTAATTGAACTTTCATTAGATTGTAGAGTGCAGTGTGCTTGTAGGTTTAACTGACTAGATATTAAAGGCCAAATGTTAGGTTTTGTTTATAATATTTCATGTTCATGTATTTAAATTTTAAATAAATGTTTTTCTGGTGTTATTAGATTTCAGTGTAGGCCTTTAAATTCAGATTAAGCCCTAACATACTGACAGACAAAAGTACTCTACAGCGACACCATCAGAGTTTCCAAAATGCAAATCCTACACAGAAAGGCCCCAATTAAACAATGGACTCAAACCATACTTTTTATTGCAACAGTGCCAGCCACAACAAAGCAAGTTTCCATGCAAAAACAGTTCAAGTTAAGTTAAAATAAAGATAATTTTTTGTAGTTACACTTACAAAATGGTGTGGTAAGTGAGCTTAGAACAGATATTCAACAGTTTTGGCATCAGCAAAACAAACTCTAGTCCGATCAAGTTCACAGTAACATTAGCAAAGAATTCTGGTCAATTCTTACATTTATAGTATTGTTCAAACCCATTCAGGCAGCCAGCTCATAAAATGTATGTGCCAGTACCGAAGCAATAGGAAGTCTGTTTTCTTAAAATAGCCACTAGAGGACAGAACCATAGAAAAATCCAGACAGTGGATAAGAGTAACTTTTTTCCATAGGAACCTTATTATATTAAGTAAATTACAGTCATACCGTTACTGTACTGTACATAACACAACTGTTTTGGAGGAAAAGTTATTTTGCCAATTGTAGTGATCAAGCCATTAAAGCTTAAAGCTGAGGTAGGCAATTTATTTCACAGGCTTTTTTGTTGAAATTCACTTTTTATCACAACAGCAATTAAATAAGCGAACGCTCTGACGCAAAAAAGACAAAAATACAGTATATTTGGCTTTCACGGGACTGTAATAAGCACAGTCAGTCATTTCATTCGGACTGGCCTACCTGCCTGCCTGCCTACCCGCACTCTGCCTGTGCACTCACGGCACATGGAAATGTATTTTGGGGGAGTCGCTTTGGAGGGAACGTAAAGGGAGAGGGTGGGATTTATTTTCGGTTGGATACTATCAAAATCTAGCTGTCTCTTGCTAGTTTCTCCAATGTTGACTACTCCAGCTTTAAGGGAAAGTATGTAGTCATGGCTGAATAATAAAAATGTCACAGTGTTTAGTACAAGATAGGATGCAAACCAAAACCTCTCATGCCAAATGCAAATAATTCACTCACCAAAGGAGAGATTGTCCTACAACTGGGCATAAACATATTACAATAGAGAATCATTGAGGCCTCCAAAACCACAATGAATCTTCTTGCAGAAAGCTCACAGTAAAGTCAGATATTCCATACATTATACTAAAAAAAAAGCTTGCTTTCTATCAGGTTTTACTGGCTCTGCTTATGGCACCATTTTCACCGCAAGATATAGGGTCAAGATTATAAAGATCTAAACCATACTAAAGACAGAAACTTAGAAATAGAATGAGGAGAAATGAGGAAAAGTCAAGTAGGTTTTGTTTTTATGTCTCTTAAGGAAACAAAGATTAAATACAATCCTAACGGAGGGGTTAGGAAGGAGAGTCTCATTCATGCGCAGACATTAACTTCATTTTCAAAGGTCATTCAGTAATTGTCAGGTAGATAAATGGCCATGCTAATCAGAATGGGGGTTAGTATTGTTAAAAACCTTTCTTGATGGCATAGAAGCACAAATAAACTCCCAGGGACCCTCTGAGTGAGTGTTACTGCCTGTTCAGTGTTGAATAAATGAGGATTTATTTGTGGTGTCTTCACTTCTGTGTCCATTTGCCTTTGACCAAAGAACTGTGGGAGAGTTGCCACAACAGAGCCTTTGCCTTTTTTCCCTGTTAAGGAAATTCATGACCTCAGTTTGTCAACTGACTCTCATGATTTGTCACAGCTTTAGATTGTATTAAAGAAGTGGACGTAGCCACCATGACATCACCCATTGGTTTGTTGACTACCATTTTGAAGACTTGAGTTTGGCATTTTAACTATATTTGGATGAGAGAGTGGAGCTAGCTAACTAGGTTAGTAAGGTGCATCCGTAATTCCCGTTAACTGTGATATTATTTGGGATGCAAATTTTGGCCAGCGATAAACAGGCTTAAAACAAAAAGTACTTAGTTGAAAAACACTAACAGCACTCCAAAACTAGTTAAACGTACACAGTGCAGTGGATACAAAATGGGACCATAATTTACTAAATAAACATCATGGTGTATTGAAGAAGCCTTGAAACTAGAGATTGAAACTATAAACTTGTTTTTGTTAGTATAAACTAGTGTTTGTTAGTGTTTGCTGAGGTAATAAATCAAGTGAGAAGTAGGGTCATTTTGTCATTGACAAAAATGCAATTGGACTTCTTTTTTGCAACCGGTGGAATCGCCCCCTGCTGGCCATTAGAAAGAATGCCGGTTAAAGGCACCTTCGCATTAGCTTCACTGCTTGGTAGATTTAAAATAAATAAGATCTTTTCTTCATGACAGAATTGCATGTAAAATGTCAAATACTGAAATTATGTACATGTTATCATATTATAATACCCTAAAAGTATTGTTAGTGTGACAAATTAACATTCAAACTACTGTTGCTATTACTAATAAAATGCTCTACTGTACATTTTGTTTAGACTACCACTCTAATTGGCCTGCTGAAGACTGCTAGGCTTCTGCGATTGGTGCGTGTAGCCAGGAAGCTGGACCGCTACTCTGAATATGGTGCTGCAGTCCTTATGCTGCTCATGTGCATCTTCGCCCTCATTGCCCACTGGCTAGCCTGTATATGGTATGCCATTGGCAACGTCGAGAAGCCCTACCTGGAGCACAAGATTGGCTGGCTAGACAATCTGGGCGTGTCCATAGGAAAGAGATACAACTACAGCGATCCTAGCTCTGGTCCCTCTATTAAGGACAAGTATGTCACAGCACTTTACTTCACCTTCAGCAGTCTGACTAGTGTGGGCTTTGGAAATGTTTCTCCAAACACCAACTCAGAGAAGATCTTTTCCATCTGTGTCATGTTGATTGGCTGTGAGTATTTTATTGTCTTTTTTATTTTCTTTCAGCATTCTTTTATTCTGCCTTTATCTGGCAAGCACTTGAAATGGTTTAAGGCATAAACTTCTTTTGATCAGATCCTAGACAATACATTGTCTGTGTTTATGGCAGCGTTTGTTCACATTAATTCAAGTTAACAGTGTGCCTCTGTGGGTAAAGGCAAGAAACACACAAAGCAGTCTGTAGAGTGTTACCTCATTTATCGACCATTGTCTGTATTTCAGCGCTCATGTATGCCAGTATTTTTGGGAACGTCTCTGCAATCATCCAGAGGTTGTACTCGGGTACGGCCCGCTATCATGCACAAATGTTACGAGTCAAGGAGTTCATACGCTTTCACCAGATTCCCAACCCACTGAGACAGAGACTGGAGGAGTACTTCCAACACTCCTGGGCCTACACCAATGGCATTGATATGAACACGGTAAATAAAAGAAGATCACCACACGGCATAGGATACCTCACAAAATTAACTGATCTCATTGAATGATCATAGCAATACTGCAAATACTGATTCTAAAAAGTGCTTTCCTTTCTCTTGTCTGCTTTTCATGTGGATTAACATCTCTACATCGGTAAGAGCAGGAGGTACATATTTTTTATTTCTTTGTCATTTTCATGGCTAAATGTATCACTGTTTCAGAACTGTTAAAATAGCATCATCCAGACAGTGTCAGTAGTCAACATTTCCATCACTTATGCATGATCTCTTTGTGAATCCATCTCATTGTCATGACATCGTTACATATCTTAAAGCAAAGATAATTAATATTTAATTAATTATACTATTTAGATTTTAACAGTGCAAGATGCACGATTATGTTTCATTACCACGTAATTTTATGGAGTATGGTAGAATCTCTCTCTCATTTTCCCAACAAATGTTTTGGCATTTAACGCAAGATTAAATGTGTACTTATTAATTCAAGCATTACATTCCCATAAATTAGCTTCTCATCCAACGCTGGGATTTATGGATCCACATTCTTGTTTTAATTTGCAGTAATCGTTTAATCATAGAATGTTGTAACCATGTAATATATGATAAACACTATAAAGGAGCAGGGTAAAGCATAAAAGTTGTGATTATTAAATGTGGTTAATGGTCAGATAAGTCCGATATTATGTGTTACCAGTTCAAGAAAAGAAAGAGACAAAGCCAAAACTGAGCAGGCTTCGTGTACATTAATCCAAGTTAAGATTTGTTATGGAAATCCTACAAAATAAGCAATTGTTACATCTTAATATAATTCATAGGAATGCGTGTTAATTTGGAAACATCATAGTGTCTGCCATATTGCATTTGATCTTTTTCCTACGATGTATATGCAACCGACTGTAGTTAATGGGTCTATGACTCTATAAAACATTGTTTTCATCCCATATCCTCATCTCTGTGCAATTGTCAACCTTAATTACAGTTTCTTTTAATAAAAGTGCATTCATCTCAACACATTTGCTGCTCACAGCTTCCCCTGGGTCGCAGACCAATTCTAAATGCGTCTCTTTGAGGATTTCAAACGAATATTTTGTGCATTTTACTCACGGATTTTCTCTGCATCACAGGTGTTAAAAGGTTTTCCTGAGTGCCTGCAGGCGGATATCTGCCTTCACCTCAACAAGAATCTACTTACCAACTGCAAAGCGTTCCAAGGAGCCACCAAAGGCTGCCTGAGGGCCTTGGCCATGCACTTCAAAACCACTCATGCTCCTCCTGGAGACACTCTGGTCCACAGTGGTGATGTGCTCACCGCTCTCTACTTTCTGTCCCGCGGCTCTATTGAGATCCTGAAAGATGACATTGTGGTAGCCATCCTCGGTAAATACAATCCCTTGTTGATTATGGGAAGTATAATAATGGGTAGCCTAGAGAGTGGGTGCTAAATGACTGCAATGAGACACTGTTATGTATGTTCTATGAAAGCTGAAATTGTTATTGGTGGATGAGTGTTTTTTATCTTCTTTGAGCCAAGATATTTTTTTGTTTGCCTGTGTCCATCATCAGTATCATGGATGAGGTAGCAGTTTCTATTGTATGCCACCTATCACAAGAGGTGTAAAAACTGTAAAAGTCATCTCCCTGTTGTATAGAAGATCTCTCAGCAGCTTGTGTGTTGAATATCAGCATCAAATCCGTTGAGACAAAGACATAACATGTATGCTGCTGCTTTTGGTTCTGCTCTTATAAAAGGGAAGGGTGGTTCAATTGTAGTCTGACCTCAGTGTTTTGTGAGTTTGCATGAGCAAATATATGACTTTGCTTTTTGTTTATAGTCAAAGAGGAAGTGTGTACAAAAAGGTCACGCTAATATATCAATATGTGTATTCAAAGCACATGGGTTTTATTGGAAGAATTGATTTGAAATTACCACGTTCACTTTTTGCACAAAAATGAAAGTATGCTTTCTAGGATGTCAGAAAATTACAGAATGTGCCTTTGGTTGCACATGGGTTTCCACCTTTGATTTTTTGTGAAGTGTATTAATTATGTAGTTTGTTCTGATTGATTGAAATATTTGAATTATTGATGGCATTAACCTCCCACTCTGCCCAGAATGTTGATATTTTCAAATATGTGGAGATGCTGCTCAGAGCTGTCAAAGCTGAGGAAAGGATAGGCAGTGCATCCCTATGGGCACATATTATTTTAACACAGTAATACTTACAATGAAGCTCAGCATGACTTGTGTGCATATCAAAGAATTAACTGTTAAAATGTGAATAATTTTCAAGTCACACGGCAGCTAAACCACATCGTGTTCACACATTTTGACAAGAATGGCAAGGTGTGCCTGCCGTCACCCATTTTTTTGTCCTCTGGGCAATAGGGCTGTTCATGTGGCAGGTTTGAGACTCTGACATTTCTATTAAGTGGCTCCATGAAATGAAATGCTATTTGGCAATTTCACAGAACACGGTGAAATAGCTGTCACTTTCTTGACAGCACAGGGAAATGAGTTAAAACTGCAAAACAGTGATTATAAAAAAAGGACAATAAAAGACTAAACTGTCTAAAACGATTGCTCGAAATTTTAAACAATATTTTGCCATAGTAATTATACTGATACTGAATACTCATCTTCTTGTAAGATTAATGAATATTTATCTTTTTTTCTGGTGAACCACAGCCAGGTGCTACAGGCCAGGCCCGGATTAAACTTGCGATTATTCCTAAGATGAATGCTCTCCAAAGCTGCACCTGACAGAATGGGGTTTAAGCTTAGCAAAAGCTGCTGCATCACACAAAACCTATTATTAACAAACACATAGGAAAAGTCACTGATCCCATATATCAACCCGTATATATTTGATTCAAACATAATGCTCCATCAGCACCATTTTGCTCCAATTTGTTTGTGAGAAGCTGTATGTTTCTTAGCATGTTATCACCTACGAAACTGCCCCAGCCTCTAAAAAGGTAGCAGTCAGCCGATAGGGCTAAAGCATTTTTCCTCTTGTAATGATATTGAGTCCAACAAGGCTGCTAGCATTGTTCCACTAGTGAGTGAATTTGTCTCTTACACCGCCATCCAGGCTAATGACTATCTAAATCCTTGTGCTGAGAGCTGTATGTGGGGGAGAAATACACCACTCTGTGTAAGGCTGTACTCTGTGGTAGAAAGGTGTCCATTTGCATGCTGTGAAAGGCACACTGGCAGCCAACATATCATATCTCTTTCTCCTGAACCCCTGCTTACAGTGTTGGCATTTAGTGAACCCCGGGACCAACAAAGGGATTTTTCATCATGGCCTTTAAACCAAACCTCCAGCCCTCTGCAAAATGGACACTCATTTTAGCAGAGGAAACTCTTTTATTCCCCAGTTTCGAAACTAAGCCCAAGTTAGATTTAATTACTACCTAGACGTTTGCTGACGAACTGGATTCATTATGTGATAGCCATTATCAACACAAATTTCTTCTTTGAAGTAAGTGTGTCAATCACAATCAAACCCTCCTTTCCCTCCACATCAAAGTTGCTTCAAGTTAGGAGTTATTCCTCAGCGTAAATAATGGATCAAAGATGGAAAAACAACTGATGCACAGGCCTTGGGAGATCATCCACACAGAGAGGGAGGGCTGTTAGATTTTTATTATCCGCAAAAACAAACATGCTGGGTGCACTTTAGTGAGAGAGCCTGAGGAATAGCGAGATAAGTCCCTATAGAAAACATGACACAAATGAATCTCTGTAATGAGCAGGACTTCTTGTAGAAGCAACTAAAGCTAAGACTTCCCTATCCCAGTGAACCTTACAAGAAGATGTTTTGTCTCTGTGTGTGTTGATACCAGGAAAAAATGACATCTTTGGAGAAATGATCCATGTGTTGGCCAAGCCTGGAAAGTCCAATGCTGATGTTCGAGCTCTAAGTTACTGTGACCTGAGCACCATTCAGAGAGAAGACCTCCTGGAGGTGTTAGACATGTACCCAGAGTTCGCTGACTGCTTCTTCAACAACCTGGAGCTTACCTTCAACCTTAGAGATGAGTCTGCAAAGGTAGATGACATTACGCTGGTGTTATGGGACCTATATGTTAAATTGATGGTGTTTAACAAGTATTCACATTGTCATGACTATGGACTTTTAACAATGATACTTAAAATTAAATTAGATTTTATCAACATTCTAGCAATTCAAATTTAATAAATATTGACCACTAAATGCATTAATGAATAGATTCCAATGCTCACATTGTTGCAGCCCTCAAGTTCCCAAGGCTGTGATTCAGATGGCGAGGGCACTAAGAGCATTAAAAGAAGGATATCCTTCACACCAGATCTATCTGAAGGTAAGTAGAAACTAATCTGCACAGGTCCAGTAGAGCCTCTTTTAGCTTGATTTGTGGTTGCAAATTTGTTGAGTGGAAGCTCCCTGAGAACACGTATTCCATACGGAATACAGTACAGTGTTATTCCTTTAACACCTGTTCATTGCCATTCTACAGGTGGAAACAAGGAAGTGGTTAAAGACTTGGGGAGGGAGAGGGAGTCTAACTCGTGCCTAAAAAGATGTTCAGAAGTCCTGGGTCCCTCTCCACCCAGTGCCGCCGTCCAGGACTCAAATCTTATTGTCAGAGACAGCTTGGAGAGAAGACAATCTTTAGAAGGTAATTTAGATTTAACTCAGGGTGCGATTTGCCAGGGGGATGCGTGAGATTTCCCCCTTTCTGGTGGGGAGAAAATTTATCCCCCCCTCAGAGTGATCAGTGCTACTTCACTAGTGATACAACTGATAACAAAACACACGTTTGGGATCAATCCGTAGTTTTGTTAGGGTTAATATTATTTTTAAATACTATGATGTAGCTGCCTGTCTCTGTCGAGGGGAAGGCAGCCGATAATATTGAAGCTGCAAGACACATCAAAATCTGATGATCTGTTTTTCTGATGACAAGCTGCCCAGTTTCTCTGTAACATCAGTGAACATGCTCAAACACACAGCTACAGGGTCTCACTTAACGACACTCTTGAAAGTGACGGTTTTTAAATCAGTCTCTCTCCCCTTACCCAATCACTGCACTTCAGAGTTAAATACAGCATGCATCTGTCTTTTCTGCGTTTTCACTTCAACTCTGCATCGCAATGTAATGTTACATTGGCTATTTATTTTTTTTATAATAAAAGGGAAAAACTTTTTAAACTTTCCGATCAATCCAGTTTTTTACACAAATCGCACCCTGGTTTCACTGATGAATTATTAGTGTTATGTGAACATAATGGTTATTGTTTTGACAAAAAGTTTGTGTTGTAAGGGGTTCCTATGCAGTATAGAGCAACATAATTAGCAGCACTGGGAGTGGGGAATCATGTCCTTTGTATTTACAGTAGGAACGTCTGTTAGATGTTTCTGTGAACATGAAAGGGGTTGAGATATTCCCAGGCTTCCAATGCTGGTTTGAGTAATATATCTGTGTGTTTAAAGGCTTATCTTACGTCAAAACACTGCACAGGAGCTTATAATACTCTGAGGCAGGATTTCACAATTCTGGACAGTTATAACAGTGACAATTATTTTATACCCGTCTCAACAATGAATTTAAATGATAGAGTAAGTACTCAACCAGGAAAGTGAGCTAGCAAATATTTGATTAGCCAACGCAGCGGTCTTATTGAAATGAATGAGAAGGCTGCACTTTCAACATATTGCCAAGACAGTCTTTGGAGTGACAAGTACCAGAGTACTGGGACATTAGCCATTCCAAATTAGGGAGAAGAGGAAACATGCAATCACACTGATAGCTTAATATGATCATTTTCCAATTATTGTACATAGTCAAGAAAAGCGAATATTACAAGATTCACAGAGGCAGTTTTATTGCATGACCATTGCCATGCATAGCTTCTTATTTCACCACTGCTCATGCTTTTGTGTCCACACTTGTCCATAACAGCAACAGCCAATCCACTGTCCTATTTTTATACAATAGAGACACAACTATAACGCAGGCATGCGCTTGTAAGAGAGGTGTGATTCAACTCTCAAAAACACTGCAATTTCTGAGGTTGTTGTTGTGGGAGATTCAGGTGTCCAATATTCACACCTGTATAACGGGGCCAAGCTTTTACAGACATACAATAATTAATAGTGTCTCTTACTAAACCAGTATTCTTGATATTGATTTGCAGCCTCATTCAGAAGTCGAAAGTTCACATTTGTCTGAGGAGAATCAGAGATCTAAAATGATTACAGTAACCTGATATAGAAATTGCAGAATTCTGTATGCGCATAGCACATCCCAAGACTGAAAAGACATTTAGTTCAAAACAGACAGTTTGGCACATGGAGAAAAATTAGCTCTTGTTAATCTCTACTGCTGGAAGGATACAGAAAATAAGGTCACATGAGGGCAAAGGTAAGTGCCATCCATGGTAAACACACACAACATCCAACAAGGATCCTCATATCTGTCCGGCTCATAATGGTAGTTCAAAGCCACCTGCCCGGACTGCTGCACCAGATAGTGTAATCACAGAACTAACCATCTCTGTGTTTAAAATCACAAAAGAGGCTCAGCACATATCACTGGACTGCAAGCTGAATACTAGCAGGTGCCCAGCAGAGATAACAGGGTTAGTTTGCTCCTGAAAAACATTGCATCAACAATACTCCCTGTACAAGGGCTTGATAAATTACAACATGATACCTTATATTAATTACATTCTATTTTAGTGTGTGTGTGTGTGTGGGGGGGGGGGGGGTTATTCAATGATGATGTTGTTCTGACCCACATGTGAGGATGTAAAGTATGAGTGTTGGTTTGGCTCTACAGATCTGTGCTGTGATAAATGGGCCTGTAAGAAGCCTACGGACTTCCTGGATGAGTCAGCACAGTTCCAGGACCTGAGGGAGGAAGATAATTCTGCCAGCGAAATCACGTATGGAGAGGTGGAACAACGCTTAGGTCAGCTTCAGCAGCACTTAAACAGGTAAATGTTTTTACAGTCAGCATACAGATGGTGGTTGATCCTCATTTAACCATCATGAATTATGAATTACCCCAGAATGTGAAGCCCACTGAAGCCCACTCGCTATACTTGCTGTTAGGGCATAGTGCAACAGTTCACCAGACCTGTATCAAATAATAATAGATTTCATCTTCATCAGGATAATTGTAACTAAAATGGATAAAGAAGAGCCGCCTGTTTACACATAAATACATCAGTAATAATAATACAATAACATAGTAATTATTTAACACAGGGGCCATTTCATTGCAAGTACTTTTACTTTGGGCATTTTATTTACATTTACACTTACAGTATTTGTACATTATTGTATTTCTATTTCATTTAAGTAAATGATCTAAATGATTATTCCACTACTGTTAATATGACATAGTAGCCTACTGGTGGGAAATGAGCTGAAACTTTGACTCGTTTTTTCCTCATTAAGCTTTAAACTCCACATAACACATTATTGTTTTATTGCCCAGCCCTAGACTTGGGTATACACGATACACCTGGATTTTGTATATATGTCTTGTAAATTACAGGAGGAGCCTATGAGGAGCAGTATGAGGAGCTGAATACCCTGTTGTGCCAGACAGATTGTGCTTCAACAAATGAGTTTTAATTTAGTACTTTGTCGTCTTTATTATTTATTTAATTACTTGTGTATTATTTTGTCACCAGGCCGGACAGGGGGGCAGAAATGGGGGTGGGAGGCACAAACATCACAGAGAAAGGACAGTACCTGCAGGAGAACGGGGAGGGGGTTTGGGGAGAAAAAAGAAAGCCCCGAGACCACATGCCCTGGGGACAGCTACGCCCCACCCCAAGGAGTCATGCGCTTCTGCTGGGGTCTGTTGTGCTTGGACACAGTTCAGTTTGCTTTCGGTTTTAATAATGGAATGTACTGTATGATGGCATATACTATATGCTGCTTCCTATGTGAAGAAATTGGGTCTGCTTCTCCGCAAAATCCATTGGCTTACGTAGGCTGTGACGTTCATGCACGCTTTCGTGGAGTCCGCTAACACCAAAAAACGCCTGGCTTAAGCACAATACTTACTCCAACACAAACATATGGATAAAAAAAAAGGTTTTATGTGCTGAAGCCCCTTTAAGGGGGGCTGTATGTTATGGGGTTAAATTAAATATAAATATATGGTTCCCTCATTGTCCACTTATTTTATACAAAATGGCTATCCCAAATCTGAATTTGAGGTACAAACAAAAACACTATTACTGCTGAGGATTGACATTACAGCAGCTGGTGACCAGACATCCCGAAAAATTTTTGATATTCCCAAATTACGAGCAGTTGTCCAGATTCCTGTCCTGACTGTGCCGAAAATTTAACTAAACATGAGTTTTGACTGTAGTATAATAAAACATTAAATTCTAAAATAAAAATCATTGTGTGATTCCTAGGCTACAGCAGGGACTGCAGTGTGTCTGCACTTTGTTTAAACAGTGTTGTTAAAGCCACAAATTAACGTGCTTGCTCTTTTCCCCTTTTTGTTTTCTAGTATAGATGAAGACAGTGGAAGTTACAGTCACAAGGACAGGGGAAGTGTAGCTGCAGGCAGCCACAGAGGAGAGATCTGACACGTGTGTTGCGTAGACATTTTGACAGGCACCACATTGATGAAATTATTAAATTAAATAAATTGTATGTAAATGATCATGATTTATACACTGTTACATACTCACAGTCATTATGTTTTTGTTTTTCCTAATGACAGACAGGACAAATTTTAGCATTGAGTTTTGTTTTCACATGTTATGGTTTTATTCTTCGATGCCACTGAAAGTAATGGAGGCCACGACCACCCCCAACTCCTCTGTCCTGAATACCACCTATTGTCCTCTGGTCACCCTAACTACTACTGTGTGCACCAAAGTCACAAATGTTCACATTTTACTCATAGTGGCTTTAAGTCTGTGTTTTTAGAGGAATCCAGTTTGGTTGTATTCTGTGGAAGTAGTATAATAAAATAGTGATTGTTCTTATTACTTGTCCTACCATTACATTTTTAGTTGGTGAATTAATGATTACGAAGGGCTTTATTTCTTAAAGTTGTCACCTCCCACACTGCTAAAAGTAAAGCTAGACTGTCACTGCGATCACTGGCAATGTGTCATTCACTTGCCAATGTACTGTACATGAGTAGGTGGAGGAAGGCAGAAGCTGGCAGAAGGTGTTGTCGGAGCCGGAGTGGGTGGCTGGATCTACTGGAAGCAGGATGTACCACTGTAGAACCAGGACATATCAAACTTGAGAATGGATTGGTATAAAATGTTTGTTTGTACGGTTTTGCCGAGTAGAACACTAGAATGTAAAAGTGATGACAGATTAGATAAACAAGATAAACTCACTGTGATTTAAACAATACTGTAAATATGCAAGCACACTACCTTTCCAGAATGAATACATAGCAGTTTAATCTCATAATTATCTTTAGTGGAGAGCCATATTGGCCGTAGTTTTAACAACACACCTGCAGCCAGCAGGCCACCTAAAATAGACACGAATGAACAGCAGGTGGTATTTTTAGCTGGAGGTATCTGAAATACCGGGCTGGCTCGTTTTATCTAGCACATATAAGACATTTTAATCACTGCACTCTACCTGACCTTTTTTCCCTAATGATATCTGGCTGCAGGATGAGCAGCACTTTTCTGTAATTTTGTGTTTTTGTGGCTTTAACTAGTCTGAAAAAGATGTAACGGGGGGAACAATTAGGTTTAGCATTCTCTTTAACAAAGCCATATAAATAGTCAAGAGAAATTCAGTTTGCTGCACCTGTAATGAATGTTTACTGTGCTGCTGCTTTTACTTAATCCCTCATCAGTCATATCCCAGTAAACAAATGCTGCCTCACTACAATAGAGCAGCACAGTAAACCAGGAGCATAAGACTTTTGATAATGTCTATGTATATTAGAAGGAATATGGGTAATTAAAAGGTTATTTCCCCTTACCCCATTTTGCCTGATGCCCTAAATATAGAGCTTGGGTGAAATCTACTCATAATTAGATTAAACACAGTAAACCACAGTAAACGCTGAATTCACACCTCCCACATAAAGCTAATTATCACTTCTACCAGGTGCAGCGTCTTTCGTCTACTACTCTGGCAGAATTTGTTTCCAGGCCTTCATCATCTCTTAATTTGTCCACTGAGGAGCACAGGCTCCATCTAGTGCTCAGTGAAGTACAACTGAGTATGTTTTCAGCCATTATGTGATCAGTCTCAGGCAGTCCCCACCTCTTATCTGCATGTGTGTCTTTCTTACTCTTTTTTTCCTGTTCTATTTGAGGCTGGAGTCTCAGCTGATGTCAGATATTCACACCATCCTGCAGCTGCTGCAAAGACAGCCGACACTGGGACCTCCAGCCTACAGCACTGTGACTGCCAGCCCAGACTATCACAGACCTGCCATGAAGGTTCAGCCAGTTGCTCTGACTGCAAGCCATTTCTTCAGCCATCCAGGAACTCAAGTAAGGAGGGTTTTATGAGTTTTTTGTGAAGCATTGCATTATTTCTAGCGGAACACTGAAGTCAAGCATCAGCTGGCTTCTGCGGTCTCCAATTACATTCTCACCAAGTCATCAGTGATGTTCAAGGAGACAATGAGGTAGTCTATAATCCAGCAAGCCACTGTTTCATAATGCTTTGCTCCCACCTGCTTCACACTGTTAACACTGAATGTTTTGATTGATTGGTTTTGTCTGCCACAGTGTTTGTCAGAACAGTCTGTATAATCACAGGAAAGAATCTGAGCCACTGTCCCCATCTGAATAGTCTGGATGACATATACCTCACCCATATGGGAGTCAATACAGGCTTAAACAAGTTGCATGCTTTAGGCACAGATGCATTTTTATTAGTTTTAATATTACAAAAACTGATTTTACTTAAAACAGGTTACCAAGTTCAAATAACAAATAATATTGAATGAATACAAAATGTCAGATAAATACACCAAATTAAGTTTTGAAGTGAATACAGGTCCATTTACCCCAGTGCGGCCAACTAAGTTGTGCATCTTCTGCCACTCTCCTTGTTAGGTCCCTAACCTCACACTGGCCAGGGCCATTCAGGAATCCAAAGACTCTCTGTCGAGCTTGTCCAATATGAATGCACCCATCGAGGACAGCCTTACATCGTTGCTTGTACAAAGACATACAGAGCCACAGCAACAGCAACAACAGCAGCAGACCGCAGGGCATCAACAGTCTGCATTGATGCTTCTTCCAACTGAAACCTCTTCCACTTCCTCCTCCTCTTCCTCCCCAGCCCCTTCTGACACCAACCTCAACACTACTGGACTCCACAGACCTGTCTCAGACCCAGAGTTTCCAAGGCCATAAACCTTCCAGCTGCACGGTGTTCTAATATCTGGGTTGTAATGCTGTAATTACTAAGTAGCAGCTTTTTTTATCAGCATGCTGGCACAGACATCTGTATTGTTAATTTGCAATGGCTTGATAATAGAAGTAAGATGTTTATTTCATTATGCATGTGGATGAAATACTGTTCGCTGCAATTAACAGTGTGTTAACAAACTGTTTCCTGAGGTTATCAGTGTAATAACAATGGTAAAATATTATAACAGCAGTTCTGTCAACACAGAAGCCCTCTAATGGACACTTTTTTTACAAATTCACTCCCAACCAATCAGGATGAACCTATTCAACCACACGGAGGGTGGCCATATAGGAAGACAGCATATCCTAATTCATTAAAACTACAGCTTCTTAACTAAATTCTACTTAATCGACAGAAACGCTGATTAAATAAAACCGTATGATAGAACTTGAGTTAGCAATACATCACCTAACTTTTGGTTTCACCCAGGCTTTGTACTCTAATGGGCTTTAATGGGCTCTGTACCCCTTCTCACGACTCGGTTGCAACAACACAATTGGTCAACCAGGGCTGGACTGAGTGGGCCACAAGGCTAGAGACAGCCATAATGAAAACCACTGTCAAACTCTTTGTAAATCGGGTCTCAGTACATTTCACTGTCACACAAGCACCAGTGCACCAGTGTAACTACATTCACAACTTCATTCGGAGACCCAGAGAAAAAGGCCTGACAACCTTGACCATCAGGGAGATGTGTCCCTCCCTCCATCATTACTTGCCGACTGACCTACCTCACGCTATGCGGGTCCTAATGTCCAGCAATCCAGGCATCTCACGTGGGTTTCTTCCTGGTGTCAGCTGCAGAGCTGGGATAAGACTGGCTCCCAAACACTAAGACCATAGCCACCACAGCTCACCAAAACTGTGCAGCAGATGGACAATGGCCCAATGCACCGGGAAGTGCATGCACAGTATGACTCAGGCTAACTGCTCCTCAATATCCCCAGGTAACGTACCTGTGTGTGTTGTTGTCTTCTAAGTACTGAGCACAGGCCAAGAGAAAGACAAAAGTAAGTCACCTCGTGGGCAAGGTGACAATTGGAAGCTACCAATACTTCCCTACCAGTACTCTTGTGCAGAAAGCAAGGGAATGGGGCAGTAAAAAGCCACAGACATAGGACAACCCACTCTACATAACAAAGTTTCTGGGGTTCCAGGATAAACTGCCAGGAGATTTCCTGTCCATCGACTGATAGGATTTGCAAATTGTGAAACAGCTATCATCTCTTCGAGTAGCTGAGTATCAACAGAGAGCGGCTACTGTACTACTCACTGGCCCAGAGACAGGCCAACACAATAGATCACTCTGCTTCCTATACTCCAGTCAGTGAAACAAGTAGAGATGGAGCCTGCAACTAAAGACTGTAAATGCTGGCTGGCCCTATGCTGTCACCAAGGTAGTCTGGCAGCTGGTGGACAAAGACTTGTTGTCCAGACAGTTTGCACATGCAACCTGAAACTTGGTAGCAAGAATATGAGTCAAACCAGGACCCTGTGCTGCTTTGTGTCCTCATTGCGATCATACATTCATGAATACCTTGAGCACGAGGAGGGGACTTTGTTACAACAGGAAAATTATGACACTGCCATTCTTCCTCCAGTTGCTGACATCTTTGATTTGCACCTGACTCTGAGGTATTGACAAGGCCATAGGTGGAAACACGTATGGTGAATTTCCTCCGCTGGGACAGAAGTTCTTGTATGACACACCTTCAACAGTCACTGATGAATTTGGTCATTGCTGTTACAGCCTGTGTGAGTCTAAAGCCTGTGTGCGATACTGTACATATACAGACAAACTACATTATGAACAAACTATACAAACTGTTTTCTGCAGCTATTAGTGTAATACAGCATTATCACAAAGGTGTGAGAACAGTTTTCCTTATCCTTAGTTGTATGCCTGTCTTCTCTGAAGTGTGACTCAGGGGTTATGGACATTTGCACTGCAATATACATACAGTATCAAGAATACTGTAGTTTTCTTTAAACAATGTGCATTATTACTGCAGTCACTGACATGCACCTACTGTGCAAAGTTACGCCAACAGAACACACCATACATGCTTGTCTGGGCAGACATCATAACATGCAGATTTAAGAGTATTCTGCTTATCCCAGACAAACAAGTATGATGTAGGTATTTCTACAAGGCAGTGCATGTGTTTATATCTATATATTTACTGTTTTGCACTTCTTATGAGCCCAAAGTAGCACATTACAATATAAAATGATGTCAGGATACTTGTCTCTTTTAGGATGCACGTAGAGGGTGTATTAGGGGAGAGGGATGGGAAGAGGGATTGGGGGAACACATGGAAAATTAGTACTTGCGCATAAACAGGCCCCAGAGAGGGTCTTGTGCCTATACAACCAATCCAAATGCTAAGTCCGCATCTTCATGTAAAACTAACCATAACATCAACGGATCATTTCGTTTCCCTGTACTGTTTTTGTTGGCAATGTACAGTAAAGTTAAAATGTTGTTAGACAATTGTTAAAAAATAAATACATCGAATTGCCAGGAAATTTTATTTTTTTTAACTGAGTAAATTATATGAGAAACTCTTTAGCAAAACAGTAGTACATAATGTTTGTTTTGAAGGTGTGGGAGCAATAAATGAAAACACACTTACAGTTGTTTCACTGGATTTCCCTTTTTTTTGTCCATATTGTGGGTGTATTTACAATGAAAATACTGTTTTTACTTCTACAGTATATCCGGAATAAGAGAGACATAATGACATGACTTATCCAGGGGGCTCAGGATGAACATACAATGAAATGCCAGGGATTATTAATATGATGATCTGCTAACCTCACAATAATCACCACCACCACACTACTAGAATAAAACTACACTGTACTATGAATTAAGAGAATAATGTAGGATACTCGTGTGAAGGAAAGGGGATGTAAATTAGGCTATGTGTAATATATTTATACTTTATTGTGTTTAGAATTGACTGGCAAATAAATTCTTGATTGTTTCAAAAGGAAAAACAGAACTAGGCCTGCAGTTACTAAGCAGTGGACACAGGAAGATTAAGATGCTAGTGGCAAAACCACAATCAAAAAATACCTGCACTGAAAATTTTACTCAGATAAAAGTAGGGGGATAGTGGCCTAAACGTACCTTTAGATAAAGTTCCTAAAAGAAATTTATAATATTATGATATTGATACGGAGAAAAATACATTGAGAAAGCTGAGTACTAACAATAGTCATTATATCACCGTTAGAATTTTTGAAACATTTGGCTTTGTGTTTAAGTCATATACAGTAACATGTTTGTAGGCCCACCTTCTATGTTCCAATACTGACATCTAGTGGCCAAATTAATTCTTGTGATTTTTGGAGAAACGAAACTGAAAGAGTTTCATTTTTCTTGATGAAGTGAATCATCGTTTCCGCAGCCAGTTGTATTTCATGAAGCCATCCTTCCTCACAGCGCTTTGATCGGTGTTATCGGTTTGGTGGGTCATAATGGCATCTGATGACGATGATGTTAAAGAGCGTCTCATTGAAGACTTTAGGCCGAGGCTGAAGGAGCATATTAAAGTGGAGCAGGTTCTGGATTATATGCATTCTATCGAAAACGAGCAAAAGGAACAGATCAGACAGAAAGCGAGGAACGACGGTAACCCAGCGGCTGCGGATGTCCTCGTTAGTGCAGTCCTCAAGAAGCCACATTCTCCCGGCTGGTTCAGGGAGTTTGTCGACGCGTTGCTACATTCAGGTTGTGAATATGCAGCCGACTACATGCAGGTCAATCCCCCAACACCTGAAGTGGAGGCAGAGAATGATAACTGTGTGCAGCTTATTCGATTACTGTGTCCCAGTCTTGTGGATATGAAGACTGAAGAAGTGTGCGAACACTGCACCTCTGCATGCCTGATTACCGAGGATGACAGCGATATTGTAAGTAACGTTACTGTAGTGAAAGTGGGCTGTCAGATCCATTGCTGATAGTCTCAAAGAGTCACAATAAGCATTCATAATAAATGTATAGGACACATTGTCAACACATGTAGTCTGTGTTATAAGCTACAATTTAAGTGTGTGTACGTCAACTCCCACTAGACATCTTTTTGACCACAAGATGGCAGACAAATGCACTCATCTGTTTTGCAGAGCACTACGCCTCACTCTGATTGCATAACCAGTCTAACTTACTCCAGTTCTAATAATGCTCATGCTGTAGATTCGCACCGCAACAACAAACCGAGGGCGCAGGGATGGAGCCCGTGAACTTCTGGGAAGAATCGTGAAAGGTCGACCAGGGTGGTTTTCTACATTTCTCAACATTCTGCGTGAAACTGGACACCAATACCTGTATGAGCTGACTGGCGGGTCACCTGACTGTGACAAGCAAGGTGACTAATTTTACAGGAGCACACACCCATCATAGGGAGCGCCCTTAGGCAGTCCTAATAAAAAAAAGTATGTGTTTGGAAGACACTTAGCAAAGCATCTCTACATGATTGACTACAGCTGTAGAGTGCTTACAGTTCAGTTCAACTTTATTGTCAGACTCAGAGTCCATTCGAGAAAAAATACAACACAAAGAAGGTACAATACAGACATTAAGATAAAAACATTGCTATTTTTTTTTTTAACAAAACAGCTATACCATTGTTTCCATAGGGGTGACTGGTGTCATACTGGTAACACTAAGACTAGGATGGCGTTGTGAGAATCATTCAGTCGACAAATAAATGTGTAGGCTATCAGATTTCTCAACAGAGCCTGGAAAGTGTAGACTCACACATTACAGAACGTTTCACTTGCACTTCATCACCTAGGTATTTTAGGCTGCTTGATTCTGGTACATTCAGTACATTCTGGTTTGCCTCTACTTTAAAATGTTTGTATTGTGTATTTAACCATGTACAACACTTTGTAACTCTGTTTTGATAAGTGCTGTATAAATAAAGATTTTATTTATTTCTTATTAGGCTCTGATGAGAAACTGCCTTCGGTGAAAGATGAACCTACAGGAGATGAGGCTGCCACAGATGAGAGTGCAGCAGCACCTGAAAGCAGCGATAGACCACAGTTAATAGAGATCAACATAAATGAGGAGCCTCAGGATGCAGGTCCTGATTCAGAACATATTGAACACATTAAATCAAACTGAATTCATACTGTCCAGTTGGCAGTTACCAAAATTACCAAGCACCTATCACCAAGTTACCAAGCACCTATTTTCTCTCGCACCCTGAGCGGTGTCTGTCCATATAGTTCATTTATGTCAAAAAGGTATTATAGTGACATGTTCATCTAAATTTTTGCAATTAAAGTAGATAAAAAGCACTAATGACATATGTCAACTCTGAATAGCTTCCAATGAGAAATGGCTCTGTTGATTATAATGGATAACTGGGGCGTTGCTTCTTGAGAAAGTTTTTTTCAAATGTAATTTATCAATGCTTCAAGAACCACACACAAAATTTATTTCCCCTCTCTTGTATTGGAGACGCAGAGACCCATATCTCAAAGCAGCATCAAGTAAATCTGAAACTACAGAGATAACATTCGGGATGAGTGGTAAAATTTTCCTTTTTGGTTGAACTGACCCTTTAGCAGCTGGTACTCCCAACACAATGAGGTTAAGATTCAACCTTGTCTTTCTTGACTGTGATTTTTATACCTCTGCTATATCTTTTCAGATTTGTACCAAGGAGCAAGTCAACTGCTGAACAACTTGGAGCCCTCACAACCAGGTGGGACTAATTCAGGCTCGCTTACCCTTGATACTGTTGACATTGTCTAAGTTTCATAGTAATTGGGAGCTTTGTTCTAACTCTGCCTGAGGTGTCGACACACAAACACCAAACTCAAGTCTCAGTGAGAAAAATGTCCACTGGATCTGTAGATGCCATATAGTATCATAAATGTGGGTTTGGAACATGTTGTCTGTCCCTGCCTGCTTGTCACCAAAGAATATGTTCCATGTGTGCACAATGATGAATCACATTGAGGTCAAAGAGGACAGAGCATAGCTTCAAATGAAAACCACATGCTGAATCTATCTTGGCAGATTGTAATGTAAAGGAGAAGGTTAACTCAAGTTTCTGTGGAGGAGGCCTTTCATTTATACCTCTATGCTTATATCATGCTCAGTGCTCCATATTATTTCAATAGCTACTGCATCAGCATTGTTTCTCGTTACACTGTGCTCATATAAAGTGCCTCTCTGACATTGTGTTCACATAATAAATTATTGCCTTAGGGATAATCAAATCAAAGCAGAGGTTGTGGACTAATGAGGCAGTAGAAATAATTATATGAAATGAAGAAACAGAGGAAGTGTGTTTTTTTTACAGGTTACACTACTGTTTGTCATTGAATAATGCCATAAGCCTGACTGGTTGGCCAAAGTGCCTGGTTTAAACAGAAGGAATTACATGTAAGTGTTTTCCACCAGCCAATGAAATGAGTTGCATGTGCAGAATTATTTGTTGGTCTTCTGACATTTGCTGCACTGTATCAAACAGAAAAATAAACCTGTGGGGTTTCTGTTCTTATTTGAATGGTATTAAACATAGCTGATTGCTGACTTTCCACCCTATAAGAAGTTTAACATCTGGGAACTGCTGGTAAAAGCTGTTGTAGTTTAAGCTCTATCTCTCCATCAGCACAGACGTGTATTTACTTCCATGTTGTTGCTGGGAAAAGCACTTTAACCTTTGGCATACCAAGTCTGAGACGGAAAATTAAAAGCTGTCTGCACTGAGAGGAAAAACAACTTTCTGGGGGTTTGAACTCATAACTGGGGGGGAAATGTGACTTAGTTGAGGGGACTGGGTTGCAGAGAGGGGGGTGCGTGCACATTGTGCATGGTGCCTTAGTCATGTTTTATCCACAGCCTAGACAGAGCAAATGAGTCATAGCCTGCCAGCGACTTAAAGTCTGACTAAAGTACATCATAGTAAATCTGCTGCCCTTGCAAACAGGAAAGAAGGACAC